TGTCAAGGAGGAGGCTTGTAACAATGTCTAGGCAGGTTAATGGAGAGACTGTACAAGGAAAGGAAGAGAAGAAGAGAAGAAAGACAGGATGAAAAGGGAGCAAGAGTGGACGTGTTCCCACGGTGGTATCCGTCGTGCAGCCTCGTGGTTTGGTTGGCACGCTCTGTCCTCCTCCTCGTCGCCGCTCGTCCCGTCGTTCGCTGCCCTCCGCCCGGCGTCCATGGCCGCAGCCTCCTCTCCCTCTCCGACTGCTCAGACACAAGAGCAATCAAAGCAACCGAAGACCGGTCTATTCTCCCGTAATCCAAAGCGTAAGAATCCTAAGAAGAGCGACCAGCCTCAGTCCGACGCTAGCCACGCGCAGGAACAGCCCAAAGACCAGCCCACTGACGACCCTGCGCCGACCACCTCTGATTCTGCTGATCCAAAGCCTGAGCCTCCGCTCAACGGCCAGGCTACGGCCCAGAATCCATCCTCACCGGCCCCGGCGCAGGCCGCCAACGAGCCCGTAGACGCCTCGTCCTCTCATCCTTCCACTTCCCCCGTTGCTACTTCCGTTCCGGCCAAGGAAGCCTCTTCTTCTCAAACCCAGCCCGCAGAGCCCTCGAACGCCTCAGACACGACCACGCACCAGCGCTCTGCCGACCTCGATTCCACCTCGTCCTCTTCTCACGCCCAGCCCCCCGCCGCCCACGAGTCCGTCCCAACGACGGGCACCAGCACGACGCTTCCTAGCCCGCCGGAAGATAAAGAGAAGGACAAGGACGCGCGTCCAGCCGCCAAACCCGCTCGCTCTGCGCCGCGGAGGGCTAAGACTAAGACCAAGGCTACGCCTGTCCCCGCGTCTACGCCCGCCGCGCCCCGTCGCCCGCGGCGCAAGCAGCGCCAGTCCTTGCTCACGCGCCTTGTACACGTTCTCGTCCCTTGCGTCGGTCCTTCTGGCCCCATAGAGGAGCAGACGATCGCTCCAGTCGAGCCACCTGCGCCCGCGCCGCCGAGCGGCGACAAGCCGGTCCCCCAGCCCGCGCCCCAAGCGGCGCAGCAAGACAGGGAGAAAGAGAAGGAGAAGGATGTCGAAAAGCCCGCTGCGGCGCCCGTACCGCCGCCTGTCCAGGTGCCCGAGCCGACTGTACCTGAGGCGGATAAGGACGTCGTCGTGCCGCCGACGCCGACGAAAGTGCCCTCGCAGGAGGAGACCGAGGGCGTGACGTCCGCTGCTGTTGTTCCTCCTGGTGCGACGGCGGAGGAGGTCGCGCAGCTGCGACACCAGCACCAGCAGACGCAGCATGAGAGCAGCGGGGATGAGAGCGATGGGACGAGTTTCACGGAGGACGACGGCGAAGAGGAGCATGCGCATGAGCAAGAGGAAGAGGAGGATGAACGCATCATCCTCAATGGTGGCGCAGGGGTGCCGATTGGACCGGTGCGTCGTGTGGGTGCTCGCGCAGGAGCCTGCTCATCGTGTACGATCAGGATGGTGTTCCGCGGCCGCTTCTGCCGCCCGTTTTGCCTCAGCATGCTGGACGGAAGTGTCTCGTTCTTGACCTTGACGAGACGCTCGTGCACTCGAGCTTCAAGGTACGATTTGCCCTTATTCCGTCTAATGGCTTGCGCTCACATTCCCCACTAGTCGATTCAGCAAGCCGACTATGTCGTCCCGGTCGAGATCGAGTTCCACTGGCACAACGTGTACGTCATCAAGAGGCCGGGCGTGGACAACTTCCTCAAGAAGATGGGCGAGATATATGAGATCGTTGTGTTCACCGCCAGCCTAAGCAAGGTGCGGCCCTTACCCAATTGCTATGATCGTGCCTGACGAACTGGGAACAGTATGCGGACCCTGTCCTCGACAAGCTCGACGTCCACCGTGTCGTCACGCACAGACTGTTCCGCGAGAGCTGCTATAACCACAGAGGCAACTATGTGAAGGTGTGTCCTCTGGTCAGTTGATCGCTTATACCTGACGTGCTCTAGGACCTGTCCCAGCTCGGCCGGCCAATCGAAGAGACGATCATCCTCGATAACTCGCCCGCGTCGTACATCTTCCATCCGAACAACGCCGTACCGGTCTCGAGCTGGTTCAATGACCCGCACGACACGGAGCTGACGGACCTCTGCCCGTTCCTCACCGATCTCGCGACCGTCGACGATGTGCGCGGCGTCCTCGACGGCGGGCTTTAACAGGTCGCTTCTTGCGAAATCACACGCCGCCGTCTCTACCAGGGCCAATTGGTTACCTCACGCGTCGCCTCGCTCTCCTCGTTCACGCCGGCTGCCCTTCCGTCCGCTGCTCGCCCTTTTCGCTAGTCTGGTAAATACACACCGTCGCACCTGCACTCTTCCATTCCGTTCCCAATCGTACTTCTCTTTGACTTATACCCCCGCAATGCCTACCATCGCTTTCCGTCGTACCCCGCCCGTCTACCGCCCCGGATCGGATCGCACCGCACCGTACCCATCCTGCATCGCTCGTCAGTGTTTTGCCGCCGCTCCTTCGTCAGCCCGCTCGACGTAATCCGTCCCTTCACCCTCCCCTCGCCCACCTGCCTGTCTGTCCTCCCGTTCCGATTTCGCCAGTCCCGAGTCTGATTTTTTCCGTTATCGCCACCTTTATACGCCCCCCGTCTGAACTACCGAGCGTCGGATTCGAGCATACAAGTCGCTGTCCTACCCTTTGTACATACCGCCACTCTCCTTATCCTTCAGCCTTCGCGTCTGCCCGGCACGCCGTGGTCCCCCGTTGTCTCTCCCCATCTCGATTTTTTCTCTCCCTCAACTTCACCGTCTCGTACCCCCGTCCCCTCTCGACACTCCACACGCCTCCCCGCTTGCTCTCTGCCGGTTGCATGAAGGAAAGGAACGGATGAGGGGACTCGAGCACGGTTGGTTGTGTATTTGGTATTTAATTGCGCACGCTGCCGGGAGTGCGTTTCGGAGGTCGTCTGTGTGTGTGCGTAGGTAGCACGCGATGTGGCCCGTTTACGAACTAGTATGAAAAGTGACGAACGACGCGTGTTGGTTACGGTGCGAGAGCGAGCGGGGAAGATATGGACTGTGCGGGCACAGCTGGCAACGGTGCGACACGGACAGGTCAGGAAGTTCGAGTCGACATCGGCGAGGTCGATACCTAACACGGATCTGCCGGACTGAATTGCCCTATAGCACTATATATGCGTTGTCTACAAGCTTACGCATCTTCCGAGTCGCGGATCGTTCGGGGAATCTTGGGGTCGATGCATGTGGGAGCTAAGCTCTCCGGCATGCACAGCCAATAATGAGAGCAGATCCGGAGACAACGAGCATTGATTTCGACCTGAGCATAAAGCAGTACTGGTACTAAATAATGTGATAGTCACCGTGGTGGTTTCGGTGACTCGGTCACGCCCCTTGCATGCGAGTTGACAGTGTACGCGTGCCCTGATGGGCCTTCTCTCCTACGCTCGCGTCGCGCGCTCACTGAACTTCGCCACATCTTGAACTCAGGTTGTCCAACAAGATCACCACAAAAGGACGCCGGAAGGCTCTCGCTCACTATGTTGACTCTATCATACAGGATAATACGAAGGGACCCAGTATTGTAACGCCCAAGTAATGCTACGCACGCACGAGCTGATCAACTCCATATATGCGGACGGCCTGCTTCCTAGTTCTGGGCCTCTACTGTACTCGTACATGCAACGTATGCTGCGTGAAATTTGCAGGTTTAGTCAATTGTATTCCGGATTGCCGGAGATAGACTGGGGTTCAGTTTGGATACGCAACCCTCCCTGTGGCCAATGTTTGGAACTCACTTGCCTACGCCACGCAAAATCTACACTCCACGTCGAGATGATCGCAGCCGCGATGATGGTGTCCAATACACCTGTCGCTAATTCTCTCATGGGGCATGGAGAGCGTATCGGCCTCGTCGACGCTGAGGGAGAGAGGCCGGATGCTATGCATGCTTGTTCAGTTTGGCCTGCAGAGCACGGCAGTCGTCACGAAGTGGCTCTGGAGTCGTAGAGAAGAGCATGTGCCTCTGGAGGATAAATAGTGGCTATTGCGACAAGACTATGGGAAGCTGAGCCGATGTTCAGCACGTCGCATGTTGATGTCTGCTTAAAACAATGCTAGTGGGCGTCTTCATTCTTCTCTATCTTTGCTCTCTAATCAGTGAACGGGTTCGCTTTGGAAACCATACAAAATTTCGGGTAGGTCTTTCGGACCAGACGACGCTGTCACTTTTATCCCATGGCACGATGACACATCAGGCGCGTCGCTCATGCCAGCTGCTATTACGGCCCGCAGTGGCATAAAACGGTACTCGCGAGAAAGTCCCGGAGGCGCACACGCTACGCTCAAATCCCGGCCACGTTCCCGAATAGCTGACCCTTTTAAATTGCCGCGCACGTCGATCGTCTTGCTGATGATTGCGCGTTACAAGACCGCGTGCTTGTCTACGCAAAGAAGCGCGACTTTGTCTGTTATATCCGCCGGTATAATTCGATGGCCGCACATGATCGAGTCGTTAACTTCATCGGCGCGAGAGTGCTTGGAGGGCTAAGGCATATTTCACAGCAGAGCTCAAGAGTGCGGAGGAGCTCGTAGTGCGAGTGCCGGTGGGCGAGATTCGTGCCAAACAGCTACTCTAATGCATCTTTTCCTTACCCAGTGATTGTTTCGTCGGTGGACTGGTATGCTACTTGATTTTATTCCGCTGATATTTCATTATCGCAAATATGGATGCGTACTCATACTCCTTCAGCACTGTACTCTATACCACTGGCAGTGGGACTCCTGCGATTATCTTCCCATGCTACTTCTACCTTCGGTGTACATCAGAGTCCCGTCACGTGCGAGATAGAGCTTTGTGATACCCGCCTGCTATATATGGCATCCTATCAGTTGATCGCGACTGGCTATGCCGGCTAGCTGCACGGGTTTCGCTACTATGCAAAGCATTGCTCTCACTTCTCCGCTTACGGGCGCTCCACACACGCACTTTGTCTTCCCATCGTAACGGGCAAATGGCACAGTTGGTAGCGCGCACGCTTCGCACACAGAATCTGCGTGAGGTCCTGGGTTCAAATCCCAGTTTGTCCAAAGGGACTCAGAGGAAATCTGCCTTTTGTCGACAGATTGAAATATTCGAACAAACCATAATAAATTCCGCCGCAAAGTGGCATGTCCCTCACTCGGCCTCACTGTGCTGCCCCGCTATGACCCACAAGTGCTGTGATAACTCACCCGTCCACCTAATTCACAAACCACACTCAGACGAACCACAGATATACATATCATAATAAAGACCGTGCGTCTTGACAATGCTAGGGCAAACGCAACTACAGCAAAGCGAGCAAAACAGCGAGCGAGCATATGCATACTAACAAACCGTACAAACAGGGGACAAATCATCCAGAGACAAGCATACTGCGGGGATATCTGCCCTCTCGCCTGCTACATGCCTGCGACCGCCTGACTCTGACTGAATACCTTCAGCCAGCCCTCACCAACATCAGATCGTAGTGCCTCGATCTGCGCCCGGAACGCGTCCGCCTCCTTATGCTCGCCTTGCAGCTCCGCACTCGCGGCAGGCTCGTAAACGGATGCGGACACCCGACCCGCTCGCTTCATCGTCGCGCGAGAGAGTGCCGCTGTGCTAGAAGGTAACGCTGGTAACACGTCCGAAGCTGCGTCTGTCTGGGAACGACGGTGTTGCACCCGGCTACGCGGTGAGGTCGTGGAAGACTGAGATGAGGGCGTGCCGCGTGGAAGCTCGGAGGTGGAAGCGCCTGAATCGAGGATCGGGGACGTGCGGGAGCTAAGGTCGTGCTCACCGACGCCAAGGTCAACAATGCGCTTCGGTTTCTTTTTGCGCGGTTTAGCTTGGGCGACGAGTGCAGAGGGTGGTGAAGAGAATGGTGGACTGCCGATCGGTGAGGTAGTTGGCGGCGATCCAACAGGGACGGCAGGGGGTGAGTAGGCCGTGGAGAGCGGACGGCTGGATGACATCTGCTCTGGCGGAACAGCAGTGAGGTTTCGACGCTCGTAAAAGCCGGCTGGAGATCCGTCAAGCGCGATGCTCTTCCCTTCGCGCCAAAACATATCGAAGACCTTCACGCGATAATTGTCCTCGTATTCTGTGAACGGGTTGCCCTCAATCCAAACCTCCACAATGTGTGGCAGAGGAGCGAGTCTCCCAACTTCCTCCGCCTCCTCAATGAAATTTGAGCGCACATCTACACGTTCGAGTGCCATGAGGCGCTCGAGGCCGCAAAGCGAGTCCAGACGGTTATGCGAAATGTTGAGGACGAGGACCTGACCAAGGCGCTTGTATATCCCAAGGACGGAGTCGATCATGTTATCGGATACGTTAAGGGATGTCAAGTTGTAAAGAGCGCCGAGCCCATCGGGGACAGAGACTAGAAGATTGGAGGAGAGGTCGAGGTGGGTAAGAGATGTGAGGTAAGTGAGCGGGGCCGAGGGGAAGAATGTGAGCGCGTTGTCCGCGAGGCAAAGATGCCGTAAGAAGCCCCACTTGGACGCAGGAAGCTCGTGTTCTGCCTTCGGCGGAGTAGTCGCTGGGACGGACTCCTGTTCCGTAATAGGCATTGGCTCCTCGACGCCCTCCTCGATCGTCTCGGGCAAATCGGCCTCATGAAACGACGCCTGCCTCGACGGACCTCTGTGCACGCTGCGTCTTTGCCTCGATGATTTCTCGCCCGTGCGTCGTGCCATGTCGTCCAGGACGCAACCAATGAGCAAGTCCGACATATCATCAAGTCCGCTCTTCTTCACCGTTAGACTCCACAGCCCGTCCGCGAGATGACTCCAGCCTAATAGTGTACGAGGATCGATGTCGACACACTCAAGGGACTGCAAATTCCGGAACACATCCAACGGTAGTGCGTTGGTGTTCGGCGGGTCATCGGCGAGCTCCGCGATCTGCTTCGGCCCTGGCGCGTGCAGGGAGAGCGCAGGTATGATGTTAAAGGAGCTGTAGATGTATTTGAGTTCTTCGTCAACGCTTGGTGGGGTCGAGCGGCCCCATGATCCTATACCAAGGGAAAAGCGGGAAACGGCAGAGAGAGAAGACCGGATGGATGATATGGAGAGGACATCTGAGTCGAGACCTGGGACGGAGACATAGCTCATCGGTCTTGAAGGACCATCGACGTGCACGTCGAGCGAGCCGACGTTATAACCGGCTGCTTCCATGCGAATCAGAAGGTAGAAAAGGTGATGGGTATCAATAGAAAAAGCAAGGGGTTTGGGCCGACCGCTCGCAGACGAGGGTGCGTCACTTGTGAACCATGATAGCGGATTGAGAGCAGAGGCAGCTGTGGATGGAGTAGGGACGCTGGTAGGTTTCTTTGGTCGTCGGCGCTGGAATGCTGCCTCCGCGAGGCGCGCTTCGTGGGTGCGGATAAAGGCCGCAATGCGACGAATGTAAACGTCTCCAGCTTCGAGTTCTACCATGGCCTCTGATAGGACTAGAAGCCTCTTTGGAGACTGCATCTTTTAGAGTGAATATACGATCCCCGTGAATGACACAGGCACGCACCTACGGTGACGGACAGCAGCGGATGTCTTTGACAGAGACGATGCGGGAGATAACAGTTGGCCGACGTCTCCAGCGACAGAGAAAGGTAAGAGTAAGAGTGAGTCTGCAGATGACACACGTTGCCCAGAGTATTAAGACTGAGGTGGCTGCAAGGCTGGTGTACGGCAGATGTGACGGGAGCGGAACACGAGGTGAAGGTGTCGCAAGTGCTCTGTGGGGTTGTGAATTGGTGGATAATACTGATAGGAAGCAAGATTAATCTATGTCGTTTGGTCGGAATGCGAAGATTGGATGGAGACTGCCGGTCGTCGATTAACAGGCTGCAGCGAAAACAATTGGGCGGGCAGACACAAGAGTACGACCGAGTTGCAGCGCACCTAGAACAGGACTTCCTAAAGCCACAGGAGAAAAAAAGCGGGGACCCTGCGTCTGGGCTAGGAGTTGAGAGGGAAAGGAGAAGGGGCGAAGTGAATGGTGGGTATGGTCTAGCAACGGAGAATGAACAGGCATGACGCACGTCCGAGATCCGTCTCCGGGTCTGGAAGCTTGAGATTCCGAGTTGACGTTGAGAAAGACTCGAGAGAAAAGCAGCAAGAAAAGCACTCTGAAATTTACTATCGTTGACGGCGAAACCGAGCGGGTTACTAGAACAAATGGCAAGGGAGGTCGCTGCTTTCTGTGACTGGCGAGCCCACAATGCCGACGCCGCACGAATCGCTCGTCATCCGAATCGGGGAAGCCCTAACCCCAACTGTATGATACCCAAAGGTACGCGTCAGCGCCTTAACCATACTTCTCCTTCCTTGCTTCTCCCCACCACCGTTATTTTGTCTGTCTCTCCTCTTCCGGTCGCTTTATTTTCTTGGCTCATCCGCAGGCAGAAAAAATGAAAGTCACGATTAAGACCCTGCAACAGAAAGTCTTCTCGGTACGCACGTTTTAGGTTTCAGTACGCGATGCGGCTAACATTAACACCTGTAGATCGAGACCGGCGACAATGACACTGTCGGCGATATGAAAGCGAAGATAGCCGAGCAGCAGGGTCACCCCGTAGAGTCCCAGAAAATTATCTTCTCTGGTTCGATGTCCCTTGCGAGCATCTATGTGAAACACAAGCTTACATTGGAGACTTGCAGGCAAGGTTCTTTCCGACGACAAGAACATCGCATCATGTAACATCAAGGAGAAGGATTTCCTGGTTCTCATGGTATCGAAGGTGAGCCAAATTTACTCTTGCTTATCCTGAATCCACAGGTATGAATGGCACTCTACAGCCCAAGCCCGCACCCGCCGCATCCTCAAGTACTACTCCTGCTCCGGCACCCGCCATCCCCGCCGTCACCCCTATTGCCGCTATTCCTCCTGCTCCTGTTGTTGCTCCTGCTGCTGCTTCTGCTTCCGTCTCCTCCGCTCCTGCAATCTTTGCTCCTGCCCCTGTCCCCGTCCCCGCCCCCGTTCCTGCCTCTGTTCCCGCCGCTCCTGCACCTGGCATGGATTCAGCACCTGTAGCTGCCGCAACTGCACCTGCTTTTGGCGATACTGGCTCTTTTGTTAGTGGAGACGCGCTCCAGCAGTCGATTAACAACATGATCGAGATGGGCTTCGAGCGCGAGCAAGTTATGCGTGCTTTGCGCGCAAGTTTCAATAACCCTGATCGCGCAGCGGAGTACCTGCTCAATGTATGTTCGATTTGACGGCCCGCTCAATCAATAGCGCATGGCTCCTACTGACTTACACTGCAGGGTATTCCGGCAAACCTGGAGGCCGAGGCTAACCATCCCAGTGCTTCCCAGGGTCTGGCAGCTGCCCCCGCTACACAGCCGACTCCCGCGGCACCCGCGACGGCACCATCTCACCAACCTACCGCTGCTGCAACTCCTACCGCACCCCAGAATCTCTTCCAGCTCGCCCAGCAACACCAACAGCAACAGGCACGGCCTGCCGGCGCTGGTACACGTGCTCCTCTCGGAGTGCTCGGTGCTGGCGCAGGTGGTGGGAATGGCGGCGGTGCTGGTTTCGATCTTGAGGCGCTGCGTAACCTCCCTGAGATCCAAGGCGTGCGGGAGATGCTCGCGCAGAACCCTGGGCTACTCCAGCCCATGCTGCAAGAGCTCGCTGCTCGCAATCCGCAGCTCGCGCAACAGGTCGCGTCCAACCCCGCTGCGCTGTACCAGCTCTTTGGGGGAGACGACCTCGAGGGCGCTGGCGACGGTGAGGGCGGCGTTCCAGGATTCCCGGGTGCGACGGTCGTGCAGGTGACACCCGAGGAGCGCGAGGCGATTGAGCGAGTCCGTCACTTCCTTTGATGTCTAAACGCGCGTCTTGGCTAACAGTGAAGGGCAGCTCGAGGCCCTCGGCTTCTCGCGGCAACAGGTGCTCGAGGCGTATTTTGCGTGCGACAAGAATGAGGAGATGGCTGCCAATTATCTGTTTGATAGCGGCTTTGACGACGATGCGTGAGCGGGGCGGTGGGTTAGATGTGGCGGCGATATGGTTATTTCGTGGTCATTGATGATGGCATACTTGATGTGTCTTGACT